TTTCTTGTTGATTTTTTCGATCGATTTTATTGTTTTTTTTTGTGTAGTCTGTTTTGTTTTGTTTGTTTCCTTCTGTTTTTTTTTTGTTCTGTTTGTTTTGTTATGCTGCAACTTTGCCCTGCTGTTAATTGCTCTGCTATCAAGGTTACTATGCTTGTAAAATAAAATTCTTTTCAACTATTGGCAAAAACAGCAAGCATGCTAAAATTCGCAGATTTCAATTCGTTAACACTACCTATGAATAGGATAAAGGTAGTAATATTCATTCTGTTGACTTCGCATCAGGGCGTCGAATACTATGGTACCTTTAGTGACACTGGTCTCTCCAACGTTAAAGGGTTAATTCTTCATTTCTTGTGTTTGGAGTGTGTGTTATATTCGTAACATAAAAGCATATTGCGCCAAAATATCACCTACAAAGTCCAAGCAATGCATTGTCTGCTACTGTTCCATCGCTTTAATCAACAAATTGAAGCAACCCGCACCCGCATTCCCGGAAAGCTTGTTACACCGCAACACCAGCTGGTGATGCCAGATTCTGTTCCTACCTCAACAAAATCTGTGCCACGCTTGTCTTTGGGGCGTATCTCCCCTTTCTAACTCAATGTTTCTGAGATGGAAGTTGCCTAAGGGGACCTGTTTTCGTCATGATGGCAGGCTAGGTATCGGCCATAATCATTATGGAGACCCAATTGTACTACCTTTTTTCACGATTCACGATACTTATATTTCCAACATCGCAGTACAACGCCTTTATGATACAATTCCGAATAAATTATTACGAACTGAAATTATGTGCATACTTGAATGTATCCGATTTGACCTTATAAATCCTACCTACATCCAGGCCCTAGAGGTATTAACTTGCTACAATGCCAGTCGATCCACCTTCGGTATTTTCGGAGTATTTCGTGAGCTTCTTGGAGTCAAAAATGTAGAAAAATTTTCCACAAAAATGCTCTGTATATTACGAAATATTTCAGTCATTCCGGGAATGATGTACTTTTGAAATGGGGGGGACAGATAAATACATACTAACGAAAAATACTCGTTTACGGCACTTTCGGCAAAATGAGTATTTCCGAGTATTTTTCGGAAATACTCCTAAAATACTCAGCAAATATACTCCGAAAATACGTTCTTTCTTTAATACCATATTTCCTTGTACCTCGTGTAATGTACCCAAATACCGCCCCTTTTCCCTTCTTTATCTATGTACCATGCAAATAGCCGCACCATACTCTCACCGCACAGGTCTCATGGAACATTGTGGACAACCGTTACTGATCCATGCTTATAACATCGCTTTGCTATACGATAGATGTACATATACACTCAATTACGGTTGATCGATTGCCTGCAAATATTCGGACCCCACAGCCGGTATTGGAAGTTTCTCAGTAAAAAAATGGTGACTCTGGCAGATTTTATCAGTATTTAATATCAGACAAAGATGTGAGAAAATGATACATTTGATTATGGATTCCTGGGGTATGAAAGCCGTGAGAAAATGGTGCGAAAAAAGAAAACATGTGGAATAAACTGACTACACTCGACTAAATAAATCCCAGATAGTATTTTTCTCCACATTTTCTCAGTTTTGTTGATATTAAATGCTGGGAGAGAAATCCGAATTGCCACCGTTTTCTCACCATTTTCTTACTGAGAAGACTTTTAAATGCCAGCTGTCACAGTGCTGGGGTGCAAATTTTCAATCTCGGACTGTGTTCAAGCGCCATAAACTCACCTACATTAGACTCGTCGTAAAAATAGCGATAAATTAGAAGTAGTAGTATGCTCCATCTTATCAACTATCGAAAAAATTGTTACTCGTAGACAAGAGCTCACAAGGGATCGTATATACGGCCTGTTACAGCCATTGGAGATGGTTATTGACATTGCCTATAATGACGAAGGCTGGCTAGCATAAATCTGTTGAGATGAAGATGGTTGCTAAATGTGGATCTTGGGATAGATTAGACCGGCTTACTCTTGTACTTCGCCATCGAGGACGCGGCGGGCGCTCTTCTCCTCATAACCCGTTCGTGTATCCTTTACCAGTTGGTACGGATTTAAGACATAAGACCGGATTTGAGATCCCCATGAATTCTCCGGAAGATTCATATGGGCACGAGACTTGTCGAGAGCTCTGCGAGAGCGATTGATCGGTTAAAATGTGATACGCAGATGGCAAATTGGCTTACTTCTTTTGACGATCAAGATCGTACAACTTGGCTTTGAGCATTGCTAAAGCCGTTATTTTGTTTCTGTGCTGGCTACGTTCTTTTTGACACTGAGAAAAGATCATTCTGGTAGGTAATAGAACAAAATATAAGAGGTCTCTCCTACAGTAACAACAATCTTAGTTGGGATATGCACAATTCGAACAGCCGACTCTGTTTTATTTACATGCTGACCGCCAGCACCCTGACTGCGTGTTGTCGTGATCTCCAAGTCTGAAGGGTCTATTTCGATCACCTCGGACAGGACAGAGTCGTCAATATGGGGAGAAACCTGCACACTGGCAAAGCTGGTATGTCGACTTCCGCCGCGGTCGAATGGAGAGACACGGACGAGTCGGTGTATTCCAGACTCGAACTGCGAATAACCAAACGCATGACGACCTTTTATAAACAATGTCGCGGCTTTTACCCCGGCAATTTCGGCGAGGGATTCGTTAACTACAGTGACTGGTCGTATAAAGAAAAATGTTGAAAAATGTTATTTTTCAAATAAAAGGGTTAAAGTTCCAGACCATTTAAGTTGTTAATGTGTCCCCATTTAGTATACATCTTGGCTAACATGGCGGCCCAATCACACGCCTCAGTTCCCCCTGAACCAGCTCGAATTTCAATATAAGCGTCGCCATGATCCATGTTTTCATAGAAGAGACTGGATATCATCAACGCATGAGATCGAGATAGCAAATTTTGCAGTTCGAAATCGATTTCTTTCAACATTTCGGCGTCCCCAAGCTCTGTAAAAATCGTAGGAATTGACGAGGCTTCAGTAGAAAACGTTTTCCATACCAAAAAGATCTTGTAAGTGACGATTCTGCGTTGTTAATTCATTTAATTCGAGCGAAAGGCTTGTATTTCGAATTCTTAAATGATCAAACTCGGTGCTTCAGTTAGCAGAAAAGAGGAAGCACGTTGAATAAGATCCTCCAACCTGTGTATCTTTTCTAGATCGGGAGTTGGCTGATTTGATGTTCTTCTGGATAAGGTCCAGAGTTCTCATGAGCTCTTCTGACATGCTTTGGCACGAAATGCCTTTAGGAGGTGGTGGCACGTTGTTTCCCGAATGAGCCATGCGTTTGACCGAAGAAATCATTGCCCGAATCGTTGGGCGTTCCTGTCTGATACATATTTGCGAGGGTTTCGACACTGAAAATGACTGTAAACGACATGCGAATTGTAGAATCATCCATAAAAGGACAACAAGGCAAGGTTGCTAATACTGAACAAGAAATGTTGCGTTATGGCTGACTAATACATTGGGTCGTACCGTACGTAAGCGCACTATCCTGGGCGAATCCAGCCTTCAACCCGGGGTTCGTGCGATACGATATATTCGACCCGAGGTTTGTGCGGTGCGACCTTTTCACCAGCGACGCGGGTAAAATCACATGAATCGTGTAATCATGGAAGCAGCCCGGCATCTGCTACACAATTCCCGGGATTTACCCACTGTGTCAGTGAGTTTTTAGGAAAAAAGGTTCTTATAAATTAAAGAACACAGGAGGCACATGGGTAAACCCCCTCGTACAGAGGATGTCTAGTTGTACTCACAAAGCAATTGTTACTACCGCAAAAGGTATCATTGGAGAAATTCAACTCCCTACACCAGAGCCGGAAGAGCTTGAAGTTCTCGTAGAAGCGAAATACTCTTCATTAGTTGCATTCGACGCGTATACTGTTGATTCCGGGGTTGCTTTAGAAAATTATCCTTTGCCATTGGGTCTCAACGCGGCTGGCACTGTTGCCAAGGTAGGGGCGAATGTCGACAACCTGAAAGTTGGCGATAGGGTATGTGAATATTCTATGCGTCATCACACAATAAGTGACAGTTTGCTGAATTTCCGAATAGGTCACAACATTTGCGCTAGCCGATGAATTCAAGGGGAAATCAATGCAGACATATGCCTTGTTAAAAAAATATAGTGTGGCGAAGGTTTGACACCGTCCATTGTGTCTATGGGGTGGACTACATAATGATATATGTTAGATTCCAGACACCCTGGCTTCCCAGGAAGCTGCCACAATACCTGATAATTTGGTGACATCCTACTTTGTGCTCTTTGATTCTCTCCGTCTACCCATTCCATCCTCTTTACCTGCATCGTCACCACCACCCAGAGAGTGACACGCCTATTCTCATATATGGTTCGGGAACCACCGTGGGCCAATACTTAATCCAACTCCTACATTTAACGGGCTACACTCGGATAATAGCAACTGCGTCTCCAAAGCACCATGAATACCTTCGTGCTCTCGGTGCATCCGACGTATTTGACTATTCTTCCCCCGGCCGGCCCAAGCAAATATTATCGCTAACGAAGGGGAAACCAATAAAGTATGCTGTTGATTGTGTCACTGCAGAGACGACATTGGAGTCTGTGGGCCCAAGTGGTAGGGAAGGGGAGCATTGTATCATTACTTCTCCCTATCAAACAAGACAGCGCGGTCACTGCAATACCAGGAGGGCAGAGGTGGATGGAGGTTCCCAAAGACAGAAACCCGTTTTCTGAAGGCGTAGATATAGTAGGAACAAGAGCATTCACGTATCAGGAGGTAAGCCCATCCAGGTTTGGTATGGGATTCAATTCACAGGCTTTCTTTTTTTCAAGAACCCGATTTTGAAGGAGACTCTAATGGCGCATGTTCTTCCCCAGCTTCTCGCAAAGGGTCTGATTCGACCTAACCGGGTCCGATTGTTCGAGTGGTACACTCAAAGAACGCACAGAAAATTCCCTGCAGTTGATTCGAGACCACAGTTATGTTCGTGTAGATCAGTGGTTAGATCGTTTGTCTTACACGCAAAAGGTCGCAGGTTTGAAACTTGCTCCAAACATTCTCTATATTTTTTTCTCTTTAGTGAGTTTTCCTCCTCCTTGTTATAAAAACCGCATAGACAAAAAATGGTATCCGATGCTTCTCCTTTGGGTAACTTGCAGGGTTTCGTGTGGCGTGGGCGCACTCGATTCGATTGGCCGCCGACATAATGGGATACGCCCTTTTATTAATCACCTATAGTAAATGTAAATATCTTTTCGCGTGATATTGACTTATCTGCTAGTAAGAGATGCGCAAGTGGAGCAACTGCACTCGATTCGATTGCTAATACGCATCAATGGAAGCTTTTCCACCTCCATGAGAAATATTGACGTTGTCAGAGTACACAAACTTTGATTGGGGCTCCAGAAAAGCCTCCAGCTTATACTGAAAATTACATTTCTGTGTCCATTAGTTGCAACGACCATATTGGCTCACGAGACCAATATTGCGCAAGTGTAAGCCTGGCCACCTTACCACATATGCCACCACTCCCTTTGTTCGACTACTCAAGCATTCCTTGTGCCACCACTCAATTAACCTTGACCATTGTTCTCCTTTTCCTGCCACATCTTCCTTGTCTTCAGACACCTTTTGTTACCACAATCTTATTGTTCCAAGCAGATATATAAGTATACATTCCACAGTGATAAGAGGGAATCTTTTCGACCATACAATCCTTTCCCACCCTTCCCTAGGGAGCCTCACATTCATCTTGTATCATACTGCTACTAAAATAAAGAAAACTTAGTCCTGTCCGTGTTGACCGAGTGAGGCTGATAACGACAGCCTTTCAGCAAGCACGTAGAAGATATATTGAACACAATTACATATATTCATGATATAGATAGATTTTAAGGAAGGCAAGGCAAAAACCAGACCGGGGGGGGCGGGGCGAAAGAAGCAACATACGCTGTTGTACTAGTTGTGAAAGGAAAAAAACAAAGAAAAAAATAAATTTAGGAAGAAGGATATTGAGAGATGCATGTGCTATGCAAGCAGAAATATTTGACATTGTGAAATCTCTGTATCAAGAAAGAATGCAAAGTGAAGACAAGGAACACAGACAGGGAGAAAGAGTTCACTTGGGTATGCCTACCGAATTCAACTGAGTGTCCCATATAAGCCCCCAAAACGGCTCTCCCTTCCCCAACACCAATGTTCACATTTTAAATCCTAAAATTAAATGGGAATAACGGGAATAATTAAGTGCCTTGAGAGGATGAAAACAGGAAATACGGGTACAATAGGGCTGGGAGCGAGGTGTGATATATGGCTTGTTATTGTCTTCGGGGTTGTCTTATTTATGAAAGTATAACACCCGATATATGCTAGATCAAGTATGTACCTGACCGCATTTCTGCTTATCCAGTAGGCTAAATATGTACAGATATATAATATCTCGCGACCCAATCACACACCTCAGTTCCCCCTGAACCAACTCGAATTTCAATATAAGGGTGGCCATGATCCATGTTTTCGTAGAAGAGACTGGATATTATCAACGTATGAGATCGAGAGAGCAAATTTTGCAGTTTGAAATCGATTTCTTTCAACATTTCGGCGTCCCCAAGCTCTGTAAAAATCGTAGGAATTGACGAGGCTTCAGTAGAAAACGTTTTCCATACCAATAAGATCCCTCAAGTGGCGATTCTGTGTTGTTACTTCATTTAATTCGAGCGAAAGGCTTGTATTTCGAATTCTCAAATGATCAAACTCGGTGCTTCAGTTAGCAGAAATGAGGAAGCACGTTGAATACGATCCTCCAACCTGTGTATCTTTTCTAGATCGGGAATTGGCTGATTTGATGTTCTTCTGGATAAGGTCCAAAGTTCTCATGCTTTGGCACTAAATGCCTTTAGGAGGGGGCGGCACATTGTTTCCCAAATGAGCCATGTATTTGATAAAAGGAATCATTGTTCGAATCACTAGGCGTTCCTGTCTGATACAAAATTTCGAGGTTTTCGAGACTAAAAATGACTAAAAATGACATGCAAATCGTAGAATAAATCCATAAAAAGACAACCAGGCAAGGTGCTAATGCTGAACAAGAAATGCTGACTCTCTAGCGTTGTGGCTGGCTGCGTCATCAGAAAACTTGGCGCGGGTAAATCTCGGGAGTCGCGTAAATATAGAAGCGGCCTGGCCGCTGACGGCATCTGCCCAGAGAAATAAAGGTATAAAGTAAAGAACAGAGGAGGCATATAGGTAAACCCCCTCGTTCACAGGATGTCAAGTTATACTCACAAAGCAATTGCTACCACCGCAAAAGGTATCATTGAAGAAATTCAACTCCCTACACCAGAGCCGGAAGAGCTTGAAGTTCTCGTAGAAGTGAAATACTCTTCATTAGTTGCATTCGACACGTATACTGTTGATGCCGGGATTGGGGTAGAAAGTTATCCTTTGCCATTGGGTCTCAACGCGGCTGGCACTGTTGCCAAGGTAGGGGCGAATGTCGACAACCTGAAAGTTGGCGATAGGGTATGTGAATATTCTATGCGTCATCACACAATAAGTGACAGTTTGCTGAATTTCCGAATAGGTCACAACATTTGCGCTAGCCGATGAATTCAAGGGGAAATCAATGCAGACATATGCCTTGTTAAAAAAATATAGTGTGGCGAAGGTTTGACACCGTCCATTGTGTCTATGGTGGACTACATAATGATATATGATAGATTCCAGACACCCTGACTTTCCAGGAAGCTGCCACAATACCTGATAATTTGGTAACATCCTACTTTGTGCTCTTTGATTCTCTCCGCCTACCCATCCCTTCCTCTCTACCTGCATCGTCACCACCTCCAGAGAGTAACACGCCTATTCTCATATATGGTTCGGGAGCCACCGTGGGCCAATACTTAATCCAACTCTTACGTTTAGCGGGCTATACTCGGATAATCGCAACTGCGTCTCCAAAGCACCATGAGTACCTTCGTGCTCTCGGTGCATCCGACGTATTTGACTATTCTTCCCCCGGCCTGCCCAAGCAAATATTATCGCTAACGGAGGGGAAACCAATAAAGTATGCCGTTGATTGTGTCACTGCAGAGACGACATTGGAGTCTGTGGCCCAAGTGGTAGGGAAGGGGGGCATTGTATCATTACTTCTTCCTATCAAACAGGGCAGCGCGGTCACTTTAGTGCCCGGAGGGCAGATGTGGATGGAGGTTCCGAAAGACAGGAACCCGTTTTCTGAAGGCGTAGAGATAATAGGAACAAGAACATTCACGTATCAGGAGGTAAGCTCAGCCAGCTTCGCGAAGGGATTCAATTCACACGGTTTTTTTTTTCAAGAACCCAATTTTGAAGGTGACTCTAATGCCGCATGTTCTTCCCCAGCTTCTCGCAAAGGGTCTAATTCAACCTAACCGGGTCCGATTGTTCGAGAATGGTACACTCAAAGAACGCACAGAAAGTGCCCTGCAGTTGATTCGAGACAACAAAACAAGTGGAGAAAAGGTCATAATTAAAATTGATTAGTCAAATATTGATTCTATTGTTCTATTGTATTAAAGAACACAATATAGTTATGTTCGTGTAGATCAGTGGTTAGATCGTTTGTCTTACACACAAAAGGTCGCAGGTTCGAAACCTGCCACGAACAGTTGTCTAAAGATATATTTTTTTTCTTGTTCCTCATTTTCCCTTCTTGTTATGAGAACCGCAAACAATGGTATCCTACACCTTCTCCTTTAGGTTAAGTTAGTTTGGACAAATTTATTTGTCCAGGTTCTCTCTATGTATCTTAGTTATGCGACGAGATGGAGGCACGTGACATGACATCACCACACAAGGTTTGATTGGAACGTCTGCAACTGATACTGTTCTGTGTCTATATTATTCGCGACAACCATACTGGCTCACGAGACCAATATTGCGCAAGATATTTTGAAAACAATTACAATATTCATGATATATACATTTGAAAAAAGAAAAAGAAAGTAAAGTAAAAACGAGACGAGGGGGGCGAAAGAAGCAACATACACACGGTTGTAGTTGTGAAAGGAAAAAACAAAGAAAAAAAAATATTTAGGTGACGAAGGATATTGAGAGATGCATGTGCTATGCACGCAGAAATATTTGACATTGTGAAATCGTTGTATCAAGAAAGAATACAGAGTGAAGACAAAGAACACAGACGGGGAGAAAGAGTTCACTTGGGGGTATGCCTACTGAACTAGTGAGTGTCCCATATAAGCCCCCAAAACGGCTCTCCCTTCCCCAAAATTAAATGGGTATAACGGGAATAATTAAGTGCCTTGAGAGCATGAAAAAAACAAATACGGTGTACAATAGAGCTGGAAGCGAGGTGTGTGGCAGAGGTATATGGCATATTATGAAATTGCCTTCGGGGTATGAGAGTATAACACCCGATATATGAGGTATTCAGATCAAGTATGTACCTGACCGCATTTCCGCTTATCTGGTAGGCTGGCTATCCACAGATATATAATATCATAATTATGAATCACTTTTTTTCCCCTTGCCAGTGTGACGGGACACTTGGAACGAAACCTGAGGCCGTTTCTTCATTTCAGGGTACTTTCGAACTTGGCGACTCGGCGTTAGCGCGACGGAAAACCAAGGCGCTGATCCAATTTAGTACATATTAGCACCCTCCGACTGGTTTTCACGACACGTTGTACGCACATCTTTGCCTGCAAGGTGCGTGATCTGTGGAGAGCAGATGGTGGATGGTTTCCAAAATTGCTTGGAGCCTCGGTAGTCCTTCCCCAAATCGTTCTGGAAATGAATGCTCCGCATATATCGTTAAATGCAGACTCTCTTGGAATGCAAGTCTTTCATCAAGTTAGAGACTCATTAAGTTTATCCGTCCGCTTAATGAAGCAACTGTCGATAGAGGATGCACACTCATCTTCCCAACAGCGCCTTCCTACGGATTTATCTCAGCAATCACTCTGCTGTTTCCGGCGGTGGTGTAAATCCAACGTACCCGTATGTTTTTCTCCGACACAAATCCCATCTAAGCAGTGGATGACGCTCCGTCTAAAT